TGGCGAGCATGCTGCCCCGCGCTGAGAACATAAAGAGCAGTGCTACACCCTTTTTTCACTTGTGCCTTTCAGGTGAACGACAGCCACTGACCGACAAGAACAAAACCGACCCGGGAAACTTGGGCAAAAGCCTCGATCCTGTGTATCAATCCGTGAATCCGTGAGGGCATGCCCTGATTGGTCCGAATACTAGCCAATCTGGATCGGCCATCTTTAGCTCGATGCTTCTCGCCCTCTCATGGGGATTCTAGCACGACCTCGTGCGACACTGTGATTATCCTATAAATAACTTGTAATAATCTTCCGTTGTCTCCACAAAAGGCTGTCTGAAGTTGCCGTGCCTTCTGATGTACCACGGTGGGCGGACCAGGAAGCCAAGGACCGGTACAGTTTTAAGACCGTTCAGCAAGTCGACTTGTTCACAATACCCATCGAGTGATGCAGTGCCGTCAACACATCTGCCAGTCCTTCAGGTACTGTCGCGTTTCCAAACTATCGATCGTAAAAAATAACTCAAAAGGACCATCTATTAACTTCAAAAAGTCCGATCAACTTTGCCTCCAATACCCGTACTCTAGGTCAAGTCGAGCAACGGGCATCCCTGGCGGAAACCTTGATTTCCCTCTATCGATGTATGTTGTCTCCGAAACACGCCTGCAGGACTCCATCTCGGTCGTGTACCTTAAGGTCCTGAGGACGGGGTCAAATATTCCACATTTCACTTTGGGTGTCTGGTGGTCCTGGTGCGGTTGCCCGTGGTGTGAGGGTTGCACTCAGCATGTATGGTTGAAAATGCCTCACTGGGCTGGATCTTGGCAAACAGTTTTATTTATGCAGTGCGGTTGCACTAATTGAGGTCAATGCAGATAGGTGTGGTAAACGGTGTCGTATCTGCAGTTCTGAGACTGAAAAGGGCTGGTTTTGTCTAGGTCGGTCAACAAGAAAAACGGATATAGTGATTGCGGCGTGTGATGTGAATATATAATTTGACAGACTAACTCCGGAAGAAACAGGTAGGTGGTAGATTTTGAGCCGAATTTCGGCGCAGGGGTGGTGTGCTGATCGTTACTGACTTCCAGCACGGGCGCTCTCGTTGCGTTATTTGAAAGGCACCAACTGCAAGACAATCAAGGGTTCAGTTGGACCATGCGGTCATCAGTTACCAATGGAGAGCCTTAATTAAAGACTGCCGTTCCTTCTGGTATCCACCCCCCGATTCCGATCATGCTGTTGTGCGGGCCCGGGTATCACCTCGTTTTCGTCAGCATTACGCGCACGGAAGCAGAACAACTCTATACGTCAACCCTGACAAATTTCAGAAGCTCAGTAATATCGAGCTGATCTGCTTGGAAGCTGCTGGAAACGCACAGTCATGCGGATGACGAAGGTTGCTTGGACGTTGGATGGAAGCGAATTAAAGATTCTATGATCTCAGCTTTCAGAACTCAGTCCAGGTCAGCCGACTAACGTAAATGAAAACTGGATATCGTCGAGATAAGCAGGTCCAGTGGCTTCTAGAAAAGCGATACCAGCAACTAGCGACTGTGTTGGCACACGCAGATCCTTCAAACACCGAGTGATCATAAGCTCGAAAAATGATAAGGAACATGGATTTCGAAGGTCCAGGAGATGGAAAGGGTTTTCGCTGCAGGCAAAAGCCGCGCCCTATGTCAATCAACCGGTCAGAAGGAAACAATCTTCAGCGGAATGATGTGGGAAATCTATGGAAAGGTAATTTATTCCCTCAATCGTCGTCTTTAGCGACGGACTGAACACTCCTAAAAACAGTTCAGCTTATCTCCTTCAACACAACCGCTGGAAGAACCCAGAACATCGACGCTAGCCCGCCAACGACAAATCCGGCGCGAGGTGTCAATCCCCAACGTGACAAGGCATCCGGCCCACATGGTCTGCACGCCACACTGCCCAATCAGACAACCATAGTGCAGCAGATTGGGAACAAAAACAGAATATCAATTGAATGAAGCTCCTCCACAGTCATCCTAATTTCCGTAAAGAGCACAAGAACGTCATGCGAAAATAATCGTGGTATCAGCATCTGAGGTGCCCTCTCATTATTTTGTACAGAGTGATTGTCGGGAAAAACAGATTTGTTGGAATCAAGCTGGTTTCCGCCCTGGTCGAGGATGCATCGGCCATACCCTAACTTTGAGACAATTTCCTGAACGGAGGTACTTCTTCAAACGTCCCTTTTGGTGGTTTTTTGTTGATCTGAAAGCTGCTTTTGATTCTGTCGATCGTCATAAACTGTGGTGGTATATGGTTTGAGAGAGACACTCTCTTACCCTTCCTCTTCAATTTTGTTATTGATGTGCTGCTCGAAATTGTATGGTCTTTACTGATGTCACTCAGGTTCGTCGATCACACCTTAATTAAGAAGATAAACTACCTTAGTGAAGCTGTACAAGAAACAGCTGAGCCGTTTCTTGATATGGGCTCAAATGAGCCAGGTTATAAGAGAGGGAACAACCCAATTGGATATTAATGAAAGACGGGAATACAAGACGATTTTTCGGTCTCTAAGATAAGTTGTTGGCGAAATGGACTTGTTTGTTTGGGGGTAGTCCTTCTAACAGAAAAAGTAAAATCGTTCAGCTTTAAACCACTCCCGGTGCCTAGCTTCCGTGCCACCCGAAGGAAGCACGAGGGCTGAATTACTGTGAGGTTGCCCAAACCTAGACAGGAGAAATCGAGGTGGAGATGCCGGGCCTAAACAACGGACCTTCTAGTCAGTCGATTGGTGCTCTAACAACTTGAACCATCTAACTCCCTTCTAACAGAACCTCCTATGCACGCGTCTGAAACCTCAAGAGTTGAAATGCTCCCGGTACGTTCGCTAACAGACGTAGAATATGCGAATTACATTGCACTCCTGGGTTCGGATTCTTCAAAAATGCGAACCATTTTAAATAACCTGAATTACTCTGCTGCGTGGTTTGGCATGTGTTTCACGCCTGAAAAGTTTAAAGTGCTGCTACAAGACTGGGTGGGATCAAATTCAAACCTCATAGCTTCAGGTCATCCAATAAACATCGTAAGCAAATGCGCTAATCTGGATAGTTGTATGGTGAGCTGGTGCGAGACGGGATTACTTCACGAATCGTGAAGACCAAGCCAGCTTTCACCAACCTCTGATACCTATGACGCCGAATTGATGTCAGTTTGTGTGTCAAGGGCAGAGTCTACACTGCGATGGTGCGCCCCCATACTGTTTTATGGATCAGAGACGTGGCCTTTACGCGTAGAGAATGTACGATGTCCGTCATTCTTTGACCATTGTCCCCTAAGAATTGTTGGGGTCTGGTGGGAGCATCGGATTAGTGATGTTGAGGTACGCCAGATGATTATGGAAGGAGTAACTCTCCGGCGATAGGTGAATTGCTCACTTTTCACAGGACACGCTGACTAGGACATGTACTCCATATGCCAGGAGACCCGCAATCGTTCACCACCACTCGTGCTGAGTCGCTTCTCCCTTCGTTCTCCAGGGCTGCGTAAAGTACAGACAAGTCGCTTGGCAACTGAGAGACTGGCAGGTCCGGATGATAGACGAACTTACCAGAATCGTCTTCTAGAATCTTTTCCAAATACTCCACCATCAGATGTGAACTCGTACTGGGACGAGATTGTCACCTCTTTGCATGGTGCTGAGAATTTAGCATACGGCACGGCACCACCGGGCACACTCAAGCACTAGATATCAGACCAAACGGCGACGCTGCTTAAGTCTCGGATAGATATCTCAGCTGGTCCCAAACATAACTTAATGCGACGAATTATCAGACGTCAATTGAGAGTGAGCGTGCGAGCCGACCGTGAAATGTGGTGGACACAGAAAGCCAAAGAAATGGAAGAGGCCCAAAAAGCCGGTAATGTCCCAAAATCATTTCAGTTGATCCGTGCGACCGGTCCCCAAAAACCAACTGTGAGCGAAACCATCAAGGATTGGAATGGAGTGACCATCTTGAATAAAGAAGAACGCCTCAACCTTTGAGCCGAATACTTTAAACAACCATTGTCATGACCACCAGCTGCCACTAATCTGGAGCCCACAGTTGACGTGAACGTGGTTCCACCTACGGCCTCGGAGGCTTACGATTGCAGTTGTTCTCTTTAACACCACCGGGCCTGTGTTCAGATTGACCTCCCACTCGTGCTGTTCGAAGATGGAGTGAAGTCTTCAGTCAGTGCTTGTCTGATCTGTTTGCGTGTAATTGAGAGTATGAGACTATCTCAGATAACTGGGGAGAATAGGTGATAGTGCCCATTTTCAAAACAGGGGCTCACAGTGAGTGTGGTAACCAAAAGGGCTTTACGGTGGCCCGTGAAACACTGACTCAAGAGCGGCAAGCAGGATTTTTGCCTGTTAGGGGTTGCGTTGAATAAACGCACACACTTTGTCGGTTGCGTATGAAATACCGACAGTTTAATGATTTCTGGATCCGACCGGTCTGCTCTCCTTAACACGCTTCTCTTTAAGGAATGTCCCGGATATGTTTTCAACTTAATACGTTCTTTTTGTATGAGGGAGTGGGTAATACTATACAGCGAGCCCTCCAAAAGCTTCCGGGGCGAGATGGCCCAACCGGTTAGAGCGGGAATTTACTGACCGGAAGGTCCGTGGTTGGAATCCACCCTCTGCTTTTCAATTTCCCCTGTCTAGGCTTGGGCAACCTGGCAGTATCCCAGCCCTCGTGCTTCCTTCGGGTGGCATGGCAGCTAGACACCGGAAGGGTGCTACAGCTGTACGCCAAAAGCTTCCGTGCACAAAGCGATGTCCGTCAGGGATGCCTACTATCTCCATTCCTATTTAACTTCATGATCGATGAAATCATGAGACGAACGCCAGAAGATCTTCAAGACCCTGTGATGAAAACCTTTTTGATCAGGAATCTGCAGATGATATCGTTCTCATCTTCGAAGAGGAGGAACAGGCGTTGCTTTTCATGGATGAACTGACCAAAGTCATCCCGTCCTTTGGTATGCACTTCGCACCCGCAAAGTATAAGGTCATGCGCCTGGACATGAAGCCACTGAAAATGCCACTTACAATCCATGGAGAGGCACTGGAAGTTGTTGAGCGTTTTACATATCTTTGAAGTTGTATCAGTTCTAATTTTAGTGTAACGGATGAGGCCAATGCACGAATCTGCAAGACCCGGGGCACATTTGCTAATTTTAGGCACCTGTGGCGGTAAAACGGTTTATCCTTGAATCTCAAGGGACTTGTGTATCAGGCTATAATCCGGGCTGTTTTGATTTATGGCTGTGAAACTTGGCCTGCTCGAGCAGCGGAACTGAGACGTCTTCAGGTGTTCGACAGTCGTCTCAGAACCATCGCTCGTGTGGGCCGGTGTCGGCGAACCTGTAACGAGGCAATTAGAAAGCGAGTTTTCGGTTGTGCAGCGGGGTTTTTCCACTGAAGAATGTGTCCATCACCGGAAGCTGTTTTGGTTGGAACATGTTTTGCGTATGCCTAGCCACCGTTTGTCGAAGAGGGTGCTGTTTTCCATGCCCAACTCAGTGGGGGAAGTAAAGAGGTGGCGAACCTTTGGCCTTACAGAAGGGTATGAAAGAGATTGCGAAAAGCTTGAGTGCTGTCGGTGCTACTCGTCTTCCAGGATGGGGACCGCGTGATTCTCACTGTGCATGGTTGGAGACACTACAAGATATGTCTGCCAACCGATTTCAGCGGCGTTCTTGTTATCAATTTCTATCCAGATCTCCTGAGTGAGTGTCTCTGGAGGTGTAGGCACCTCGAAATGATTGTGGTAAGCTAGCAATAAGTCCCTTCCCCATCCAACTTTACTCTTTTCTTTACAACAAGGCTTCGAAATAAATCACGGTTGTACGGCAGTGACGCATCGCTTTTGAACTCTAATGTAATGCTGTCGATGATGATGATGATCAACACAGTAACCAGTAAACTGCATCGGATTGACAGCTGCGGCTTCTTTGGATGGGGACCCAGGGACTCAGCTCACCAATAGTTAATGGCACTGGTGGAAATGGCGCAATTGTGCACTCAGTGGCATTCGTGCATCAAAGTTTTCGTCTTGATCACCTGATTACCCAGTTCCCAAACTAACTGAACATGCCGTCGCTCCTAATGCTCCGCTGTATATCCCACACACTCCCACTGATCGAAACTGCGACACGCAGAAGCAGTACACAAGACGAGATGGCTCAAGTTGTTAGAACGCGAATTTACTGACCGGAAGGTCCGTGGTTGGAATCCACCCTCTGCTTCTCAATTTCCCCTGTCTAGGCTTGGGCAACCTGGCAGTATCCCAGCCCTCGTGCTTCCTTTGGGTAGCATGGCAGCCAGGCACCAAAAGGATGTTATAGCTGAACTATTATTATTTTTAATCTTACACACATAATACGTTGTTGGTAGCTGATAAATTCAATTGATTGATTAATTAGTTTTGTATTCTCAGAATTGCGGGCGGGTAAGATTATGCTAGGAGCTCTCGAATAGCCTCCACACAAAAGTGTTGTCCAGCGAACATGTCAAGTTTCTCCGTTCATATTCAGTTTTGTGATCAACGAGATAACGTGGCAAGCGCCAGATCTTCAAAACACTTGTTCAGATAGCTGACGACAAAGGCCCTGTCTAACTGAAATGTACAGACGACACTGTTCTCGGCTTTGGAAAGGAAGAGGCTCAGTTGGTTTTGGAAGAACTGACCAGGGTCGTCTCGTGTTTTAGCGTTCGAGCGAGAGATTGGGGGGTGCGGTGCTGAGTCGGATAATTCGTTCGCAAACGTTACAGCATCGTCAGTGGACCCATGTGGTATGTTCTAAGGTATCTAGGTGCTATCCGGGAATCCGAGTGGTGGCATTCATTTTGCGCTCTTTATCAAGTTTTCTCACTTATTGTAGGTGTTGGTGTCTGCCCATTACAAGTACTCTGCGGATCCCTATATCTTCTCTGTGATCAGATGCCCGTTAATTTACAGATAAAGTGAGCCAATGTTTCCCATATTCATTTTCATCCCAAACGTTTAGCAAACCCAAAACACATAAAGGAAGAAAAATTTTGGAGGCTAGAGCTCCAAAAATTGTTGAAAATGATAAAAGCACCCTCATACTCAAAGGCGGTCATACTAGTCAGCTTGTGAACGATTTTTTAAATGATCTTGTATGTTCAAAATTTTCGACCAATCGATCGTTTAGTGCCTGCTTAAAAGCCCTCTTGTTCAACGACTAAAATGGCGCAATCCAGTATTGCCTTTCGAAGATTTGTCCTTCATAGTAAGTCTATTTCAAGGACGCAATACTGTTGCCATTAGGAAAAAATGTGTCAGAAATACGACTGCTCGTTGTTTGTAGTTGGCCTCCACTCGAAAAAGAGGCCACACAATATCGTCATCGGTCGTCTTCACGATGGTGAATTGCTTGATATGTATGAACTTGGTATCAAGATGTACGAGGGCATTCCTCAGGTATCGTATCTAATTTCTTGTTGTGACTGTATTTCAGAACAGCCCTGGTATATCCGGAGCCAAGCCACTACTCATATTCTCCGGTGAGTGCTTTGAGGAAGAACGCAAGCATGTCATGCTGAAGTCCATGTTGGCCGGTAAGATTCAAGTAGCCCGTTCGATCAGTTGTAGACCTTTTCAAAGGGCCAACCGTTGATGGTATACGAAGTGTGGGGGTTGAACACTTGATCCAGATTGCCATGATGTCTGAGGGCAAAGTTGCGCTGAGGGTTAGGCGTATTTGTTTACGTCCCGTTCAAAAGCCCGCAGTCGCCAGAGCTGG